GAAATTGCGTGATGCCGACGTCTGTTACGCGGTTTTGCATTAGACGGGCGTCTGGAAGCTAGACTATCCCTGCGGACAAGCTCCAAGCGAATTCCGTGGTACGTGACGGCTCAGCGCCAGCGCCTTTCACGTATGGCGCAGGCGCTATGTATTCTTGCGTCCCAGGATGTTATTTCGCATTCTTGTGGTCGATCTATCCTCGTGGACAGGCCTACCATACCGAGACTCTGACCCAATGATAGAGGTGTGCTGTAGAAAGTTCCAAAATTTCTAGGTCGTACCTATTTCTTGATCTGAACTGCCCCGTTGTTTACTGACCTCGCTCTTCCAAGTCCCATAATCAGAAGAAATATTGAGAATTGGAGTGAAAGAGGAACGAAATGCATTCGCCTAAACAGAGAGCATACACGATTGCTCCCGCCTGTAAAACGATACCATCGGCACTACTCTACGATTGCGCTTCCTTGCAGAGGGGCAGCTGTGCACACAAGTCATCACTGCATATGCAGCAAAGTTTGACTGGCAAGAACTCGTTAGGGGGGTTCCCGTTACAACTTCTCGCACTGAGCATTTGAAACTATCGATGCCTCTAGCCTCCATTCTAAGTCCCATGAAAGCTGAAACGATTCCCCTGGTTAGTCTAGCCCATTGGTTGACAGGATGTGAATTGAATGTTTGCAGGCGTGCATTTTTGTTGTTTTCATCTGAGGAAGACGCCAAAGTGGCTTTTGATAAAGGTAAAGGTCTGAAACTCGGTGGCCGATCTGTCGATGTGTTCTATGCACGTCTGCGCAAAAACGCTCTACCGAATGCCACGGTGAAACCTTTAAAGGTACTTCTGTTTTCTTCATACTCACGCTCTTTGTTGTTTTATAACGATAAGAACTTTAGGATGCAACTGCTGCTCAAAATTCAAATTCGACTGCGGTAAAGAAGCCAACTGTTGCGCCCAAAGTAGAGGAGAGTGATGACAGCGACGAAGAGGAAGTAGAATCCAGCGATGAAGGAATCGAGGAAGTTGCTGAACCATCAACAAAAAAAGCAGCACCTGCCAAGGTTGGTTTTGTTAGATCGGTTGCTAGTCCTTCTGCAGGTTACATACCAAGAATTGAGAAAATCTGATTCATATTTAAATGTGGAACTTCCCAACATAACAGCTGGATCTTCTCCTTAGTGCTAATCTAATAGCGGGTCAGTGCGCAGCCTGTTAAAGACGCCACCATATACTATGCCACGCCTAATCGGTTGTCTCGCCTATCCTAGTGCTCTGCACGTTGAGCTCGTCTTTGGTCTTTTTTACACTTGCTCGTCATCGATTTTCCAAGGTTTTGAAGAAGCGGTCTCGTTGAATAGAAGTGTTTACAAAAAAATTAAAACTTGGGATGCGTGCTTCTTAGGGATTAAAAACCAATGTGTTTGAGTTGATCACATCATTTTCAGCGTAAGATGGAACCGGAGTCCGATGACGATGAAGAGGATGATGATGACGAAGAGGAAGAAGATGAGGATGAAGAAGAAAGTGATGAAGATGACGAAGAGTAAAGATCTTGAATATGTGAATTTGTGAATATTTCGATCTTATCGTTAGTAATCTAATGTGACATATAGAAACCGCACAGACCTGCCAATTGTTGATGTTATGCAGACGATATTCATACGTTCCGAGAAGTTGAGACAGATTGTTTGACTATTCTTTCTTCCTTACAGAATGGTTGTTGTTATTTGTTGAATCCTGAATGAAATTGTTGACAGCTTGTTTTTCCATAGTAACCAAGGGTGTTCACGTGACGTAGTACGCTCAAGTATGAAAAACCTGCTCTTTCAAATCACTTTTCGAGCTGTATTCGTCGTTTGGCAGAGATCAAATTCAAAAAAAAGTGATGTGATGAAGTCCGCAATTGGAGTCATTTTTACTGGGTTGTCCTGGAAAGTTCTCAGCGTTTTGAGTGTTTCACTTTAAACGATCATAACTTTTTTAATACTCATCGGATTTAATCGAAATAAGCACCGTTCGAATCAGCACACTTTTGCCAATGTGACACCAGTCGATAAATCCCATCAAAGAAAAAACTGGGTGGTCGAGAATCCACGAAATCCACGAAGGCTTTTTTGCCTGGTCCTGATTGATGAAGTATTTTCCAGCAAGGAAGTTCTGAAAATGTTTGAAAAGGTGATAGTCGGTTGGTGAAAGGTCTGGAGAATATGGCGGTGAGGTAGAACTTCAACCCCCAATTCGTTCAATTTATGGATAGTGATTTGTGAAACGTGTGGGCGGGCGTTGTCATGCAAAAGAATCGGACCCTTTCTGTTGACAAGTGCTGGCTGCAGCTGACGCAATTTTCGGTACATTTCGTCGATTTCTTCACAGTAGGACTCTGCTGTGATGGTTTGGCCTGGTGACAAAAAGTTATAGTGGATCACACCAGCCGATGACCACCACACTGTGACCATAATCTTTTTTTCGTGAGGATTCGGCTTTGGAAATTGCCTCGGTGGTTCGTCGGCATCCAACCACTGTCCGGAACGTCTCCTGTTATCATACATGATCCACTTTTCATCACAGGTGACAATTCGGTCCAAAAACGGGTCGTTTCTGTTGCGCAAAAGCAGTGAAGAAGAAACCTCGAGACGTGCCAATTTCTGCCGGTCACTCAAATTGTGGGGCACCCACTTGTCGAGTTTTTCACCTTCCCAATGCGTTTCAGACCATCCGCAACAGTGGATTTGCCAACGCCTAGCTTTTCTGCAATCTCTCGAACTGTTTGGGATGGGTTAGCCTTCACAACCGCCTCAAATCCTCGTCAGATATTTCTTTACAGTCGAACTCGTTCACGAGGTGTCACTTCAAAGCTGAATTCTCCAGAACCGCAAATTCTTCGAAAATGTGTCGCACGTGCTTTCTCCAACACTATTTGCCTACCTGGCTTAATGTCGAAGCTTTCGCGACGGGGATTGACCCATTTTAGTTCGGAATCAAACAATATCGTCCGAAGTTGCTCTTTTGACATGCTTCAAAAGTCTTGGGAAAAGGGGTTTATCAAGCAATGGTGAAACGGCAATTATACCATCAGATAGCGCAAAAAATTCTCTTCAGGATGTACTACTGAGACGCAAGGGAGAATGAGTTTTTAATCAGCAATGAATGTACAAAAAATAGTACACAAAACGCTGAGAACTTTCCGGGCAACCTACTACAAGTACTCGTCCACATTATTCTGACTATTTACGGTAGTCATCCCAATCCACCACCCACATTCTTTCAAGCAATGGCCGAAGGGCAGAATTCGGTGCCCCTGAGCAGGCTGCAAGACGCCATTTTCAACGAAGGTACCCCTATAGGATCCTGTCAAGCTGCGATATACCGACTCACGGACCCCCACCGCCCGCCCACAGTTGACCATATCGACGCATTTGTTCTTATCGCTTCGTTCACGGAGTGAAGTTGATATGAAGCGTCGATACATACCTGTATGAACACATACGTGCAGCTGTATCTACCAAAGAGGTTGTTGGCACGACGCCAACGGAAAACTCCAAAAATGCTCGTCAAAAGCCGCACAGAACAAAGGCTTTTCACAAGTAGTTGGTCGTTGAACTTTCCCTTTTTTCTTTCATTTTCCCACTATATAGCACCCTTACTACTATCTCTGAGCAAGTACCAAATTATCGTGCTTTCTTCTTCTCCCTAGCGTTAGTCCCGCGCCGTCGCAGGGTCCGCTGTTCGTGTTAGACGTCGCCACTTGTTTCGATCCACAGCATCTTCTGCCGTGGCTTTAACTTT